GAGTGAGGTAGTGAGGCAGTGAGAGAGTGAGGAAGTGAGAGAGTGAGAGAGTTTAGATGTTTGATTTTTTAAATCTAAACAAAAGTTCATTTTTATTGTAAGGGTAATGAGAGAATATATTTAATTCTTTGTGAAAGCTATAATGTAACTTAGTGCTAAAATTTCATTTTAGTACTTGGGGAGCTTGAAGACACAAAACAATGTTGGAACAACATTGTCACTTTAATTTAAAAACAAAAGTATATACATATGAGGGTAAGTAGAAAAGTATGAGTATAAAATCATAGAAACAAAAAAATGATAATGTCATTCAGGTCTATATGCTTCTGAAGGTGGTGTTTTTATTTCCCTCATCCTTCCCCAAAGAATTCTGCAACTTTTTATTTATATCAGGTCAAAAGGGTAGCTTTAGCATCCTCATGGGATCCAAATCATATCCCTTTTAAATGTTCTCTCAGTTTGAGGAACAAAAAGAAGCTGGAAGAGGCAAGATCAATGCTGTAGAGTGGATGGTGGGTAAGCTTTCTCAATGACATTATCATAGAACAGCCCTTGCTATTCTTAAAGAATGAGCAAGTATATTGTCATGATGGAAAACAATTCCTTGACACAATTTTTTGCCCTTTTTCTCATCAATACAGTTTTCAATGTTCTTAAAACTTTTTCCTAATAAGCTTTGTGTTAAGCCGAGTTGACTAAAGACACAAATCCAGTGACACTCATATATGTAAGAAAGAACATTATATCAAGAAGCTTTGTATATCAGGAAAACATCCCAGCCCAGTTCAGCTCAAGTCCCTAAGTCCAATACTAGTCCATAAGTCCCTCTTCAGGCTCAAGCAGCCACATTCAGTGATGCAGAATGCAGGAAGATCACAGGCCGGTGGGTGCAAAGTTGTACGGATCTAGTGGTGGAGGCTGCGTCACACGGCTCTGGCAGGTCCCAGACTGGCTCGCTAGCAGGAAGGTGAAGGCAGAGAGAAATGGGGGAGGATCCAAGGACCCTCCTGAGAAGGCCATGCTGAAACAAGGAGGCACCATCAGGCTGTGACCTGATTGACAGGCTAGACTCCACCCCTACACTTTTATATCTTCAAGTTGACAGGAAATTATATAACTACCACAAGCTCTTTTTATTGTCTTGTATCCTTCGAGAAAATCAGGATTATTCCTTTAAAATCACCAAAAACAGATGCCGTAACCTTCTGAAATGCTGACCTATCTGCCTTGAATTTACCTGGCAGCAGATCTCTTAGGAAGTCACTATTTTGAATGTGCTATTTTTAAAAGGCATCTTAACAAGGCTTAAGAAACGTGTACTATTGAGAACTTGTCCACAGCCATCCACTCATCAGAGGGACATGTTTAAACATGTTTTGTTGGAATGCATGCATGTATTAGCATGCATGTGGTAGCAATGCTTTTTAAAAAATTTAATATATATATGAATGTATTTATATGCATAATTTTAAAAATTATTAATTATTAAATCAGATTTTGTGATTTGATATAAAGACTTGAAAGACTTATTAGGACTGAGTTTTACCCATTATTAAACAAGGATTTATTTTTTTATGTAGTATGGAAAATGATCTGTTACACTTATTATTTTTGCCTTTACAGATTGCAAAATTACGTCAGCAATTGCAGAGAAGTAAACACAGCAGCCGGCATCATCGAGATAAAGAAAGACAGTCTCCATTCCATGGCAACCATGCAGCTATTAACCAGTGTCAGGTAGGACCATAGATAACTCGAAATTCAGACATAGGGTTTGTTGCTTTTGTGGTGATTTACTATTTCGTAGATTTGGGGCAAAAATGTTCTAAATATATATGAAAGTATAATTAAATATTGAATCACAAGCTTTATTAAAAATAAACAGTATTAAATTGACAAAATGATTTTTTTCTTTTAGTGATCTTAGATATGACTTATATGAGAAATAGTTAAATACATTCAGGTATATATAAAACTGTGAATAGTGTATTAGGTTAAGATTTATAGAAGTGAGCGTCAGTGTACACTTAACAGTTCATACTCATTTTATTTCAACTCATGCATTGCAATTCCTTCAATGTACCATTACGTACACTATTTCCTCCGTTTCCTGTTCCTATCCCTCCTTCTTTCCTAATGGTAAATCTGCCCTTTTCATCTTAAATGATTGATTATTCTAACATGAGGGTGAGTTCAGTGTCAGACTTAAAGGGTGACTAAAGACCATAATCTCAGGAGTCCCACCAATTTCTACCTGATTTTGGATTGTTGCCCATTTTTCTCCTGCTTCATTGGGGTCCTTTTAATGCATTCCATTTTAGAGCAGTTGGTGATGATAGCCAGGCATCATCTAGCTCTTTTAGTCTCTGGTCATGGAAAATGGTATTTTTTTTTTTTTTTGAAAATGGTATTTTTGTCATCCATTAGTCCATTGTACTAAATGTTTCCATGCTCCTTTTGATTTTCATTCTTCTTCTTTCGAGAGAGACCAGTAGTTGCATCTTAGGTGCTACATCGAGTGCAGGTCATTGTCTTCATGAACTGTGTTGTGCCAATAGACATAGGTCACCCCTGAGACTGGTCCTGGTCTCTCACGTCCAGCAACCCATCCCCTCAAGGTATTTAGTTATGTCTAAGAAGTTTTCATAACTTTGCCTCCTGTATGCTCCACCACATTCATGGATACATTTGCAGCAAATTTAAATATATATATATATCTCTTTGGTCAAATTTATATATATTTATCAATATACTCCTACTCAACCTGCATATTCAGCCTGCATGTTTATCCAGGCATCCACTTGCTGATTCTCACTATTGCAGGATTATGTACATAACAATATTTATTATATAGTGTCACTCTTATTATATGTTGTCTCCCCTTCACCCAAATTATCACTTATCCACCCTCTTGTCAGTGACTTTACTTTGCTACCTTCCTCTTCCACCCCTGGTAACAGTCCAAGAATGTTTCTTTTAGTATAGAAACCTTTTCCTAACTTTTAATAGTTTATTCTTAAGCAATATTTGTCTTTTTTTAAAATCATTTTATTGGGAGCTCGTACAATTCTTACCACAATCTATACTTACATCAATTGTGTTAAGCATATTTGTACATTTGTTGCCATCATCATTCTCAAAACATTTGCTTTCCACTTGAGCCCTTAATATCAGCTCCTCATTTTTCCCCCTCACTCTCCACTCCCCCCTCCCTCATGAACCCTTGATAATTTATAAATTATTATTATTTTGTCATATCTTACACCCACTTTTCTGTTGTCCATCCCCCAGGGAGGAGGTTATATGTAGGTCCTTGTAATCGGTACCCCCTTTCTACCCCACATTCCTTCCACCCTCCAGGTATCACCACTCTCACCACTGGTCCTGAGGGTTCATCTGTCCTGCGTTCCCTGTGTTTCCAGTTCCTATCTGTACCAGTGTACATCCTCTGGTATAGTTAGATTTGTAAGGTAGAATTGGGATCATGATAGTTGGGGCAGGAAGCATTTAAGAACTAGAGGAAAGTTGTATGTTTCATCGTTGCTACTTTGCAACCTAACCGGCTTGTCTTCTCCCTGCGCCCCTTCAGTAAGGGGATGTCCAGTTGCCTACAGATGGGCTTTGGGTCTCCACTCTGCATTCACCCTTATTTACAATGATATGATTTTTTTGTTCTTTGATGTCTGATACCTGATCCCTTCGACATCTCATGGTCACACAGACTGGTGTGCTTCTTCCATGTGGGCTTCTTTGCTTCTGAGCTAGATGGCCGCTTGTTTATCTTCAAGCCTTCAAGACACCAGATGCTATATCTTTTGATAGCTGGGCACCATCAGCTTTCTTCACCACATTTGCCTATGCACACATTTGTCTTCAGTGATCATATCAGGAAGGTGGGCACCCACTGATAGATTTTTTGTTTTTTGATGTCTTATAACTGGTCTCTTCTACACCGCATGGTCACCCAGGTTGGTGTGCTTTTTCCATGTGGGCTTTGATGCTTCTGAGCTAGATGGCTGCTTGTTTACCTGCAAACTTTTAAGACCCCAGACACTAATTCTTTTGATAGCTGGGCGCCGTCAGCTTTCTTCACCAGATTTGCTTATGCACACATTTATTTGTCTTCAGCGATCGTGTCGAGAAGGTTTGCATCATGAATGCCAATTTAATAGAACAAAGTGTTCTTGCATCCAGTGAGTACTTGAGTGGAAGTCCAAGGTCCATCTGCTGCCTTAATACTAAACCTGTAAATATATGCACATAGATGTATTTCCCCACCATCTTATATAAATATATTTACAAATGTACATGCCTGTATTTAGACCTCTATAAATAGCCTTTGTCTCCTAGTTCTTTCCTCTATTTCCTTGTACTTTCCTCTTGTCCCACTATCATGCTCAGCCTTCATTTGGGTTTCAGTAATTTCTCTTTGTTACATTGCCCTTAGCCGGCCTCTCACACCCTCCTTGCCACTAATTTTGGATCATTTGTTGCTCCTTTGTCCCTGGGTTGTTCAGCACCACCTCCTTACGCCCGCTTCCCTCTCCCATGTCTCCCTGGAACCACCGGTCCCATTGTTTTCTCTTCCAGACTGTTCATCCAGCCTATCTTACCTAGATAGATCTGCAGAGATAATAATATGCACCTAAAAAACAAGATATAGTAAGACAAAGTGACAAAAGAGAATACAACGATGACAAAAAAAAAGAAAACCAATGACCCAGAAAAGAATAAATTAATTAAAAAGAAAAAGAAAAAATTTAAATTTTAAAAAAGAAAGAAAAACCTGTAAATAGATCAAAGTCTGATTCTTGACCTCTAGGCATGTCTTCCAGTCAAGTCCGATGGGGTGCCATGCTCTGGCCCCCGAGTCTATCCTTTCACTCCCTCGCAGCTCCCTGCTTTGCTCCCCCCTCTGCTCTGCCGCAAGCCTTTAGTGTTTTGCCTCAGTGTCGCAGGGTTAGTCCGGGCCAATCCTGACACTGACTCTCCAGTGTTGTCCCCCGTAGGGGCCATGGGGTCAGCGAGGGACTTCGCGTCTCATAGTGGGATCAGCCATATGGTCCACTCTGCATTGGCTGTTTGGAGCGGGGATATCGGGTCCTCCAGGCCTGGTGGGCCAGGATGTGCTCCAGTCTCTCCTCCTCCCCATTCATTTGCTCCCTGGTGCTCTGATCAGACATGTCTCCCTCCCCTGCAATATTTATCTTTTTGTAATTTATTAATTTCACTCCAGTTAACATCCAGGCTCATGCATGTTTTTAGGTGTTTTGCAGATTCATCGTTGTACTTAAAAGTGATATACCATTGTGTGTATGCACCAGAGTTTATCTACTCTTCCACTGTTGGGCATTTAGTAGGCCATCACCATCTTTTTTTGCTGTCGTGCATAGTGCTACGATAAACATAACAGCCATTAAACCAGTTCTGACTAATAGTAACCCTATAGGACAGGGGAGAATTACCCCTGTGGGTTTCTGAGACTGGATCTCTTTATGGCAGTACAAAGCCTCATCTCGCTCTTGAGGTGCTGTTGGTGGTTTCAAACTGCGGAACTTGTGGTTAGCAGCCTAATGTGTAACCACTACTCCATAGGGTTCCTTATGATAAACATAGGTGTGCATATATCCATACATGTCAGGGCTCATATTTTTTCAGAATTTATACTGAGTAGAAGAATACCTGAGTTCATATGGAATTTATAGTTCCAAGTGTTGGAGAAGGTGTCATACCGCTTTCCACAGTGGTTGTACCGTTTACAGTCCCACCAACATATCTTGGTTTCCCATATTTTTATACATAGCAAATCAGTATATTGGATGCAGAATAATAGGGAGATAAAAGTATTGGCTGTGCAACGGGGCAGGTATCTTATCTCGTCACTATTTCTTAATCTGAAGGTAGTTAATAATACCTGCTTTCTCAGGTCTTTTGATAGGAAAAAGCATTAAGCTCTTTTGATTCCTTAGTAGAGTTCTCTGACCTGTACTTCATGGTTCACCCAAGGAGCAGTTCTCTTTAATTGAATTGAAATTGGCTAGATAGAATCCCTTGGCAGGGCCTCCCCCAACTATCATTTTATCATTTTATCATTTTAACATGCCTTGCATGTTGTTGCTATGATGCCTGGAAGCAGTGCCTCTGGGATTTTAATTACCCACACAGTCACTATGAAAGACAGGTTCCATTTGAGCTTATAAATTACGGTAACCTGGGAAGAAAGGGCTGGTGATCTACATCTGAAAATTAGCCCATGACGTTCCCATGGTTCACAGAATCTCTTGTTCAAGATTTCAACTCACGTCTTTGGGCATGATGTCTCCATGAGTCAGAGATGACTTGTGTCAATTACAACAATGTTGGCAAGAAGAGAGTGAGTTCATTTCTGGTCTCATGGTTGGATTTTTTTAAGTCACATGAGGTCGTCTTGGGAATTTGGGATGCCTGGATTCAATTTTCTGTTTAAACAAGTTTCTTTTCCCAATAATAAAGCCAGTAGGGTCCTAGGAGGTGGAAATAAACTAGAAGACCTACTTCTTTGAAGTTCAAGTTTTGGGGCTTTTTTTTTCATGGAACTGGAATTCCCAAGCCTATGGCCTGCAGGCCAATCCTGGCCTGCCACCTCTTTTTCTAAGTAAAGTTTTATTGGCATACAATCACTTTAATTTGTTTATGTATTGAATCTCCTCAGTAACCTGGGAATTTCCCGTGTAGGGCAGTGGGTGTGTTAGCAGGAA